TAAATAAAAAAATAAATAAATGGCATTTGCTATAGGCTTATAATCATTTTAAAATAACCAAACTTGCATTATTTATACTTTTTAAAGTTTTTATTTAATTATTATTATTTCAGTTTTTTTTTTTTGCTTTTTTTTTGCAGCTATAAAGACATTCCAATAAGTTACAGAGTATATATACAGTTGAAGTCAGAATTATTAGCCCCACTGTTTATTTTTCCCACAATTTCTGTTTAACGGAGAGATTTTTTCAACACATTTCTAAACATAATATTTTTAATAACTCATTTCTAATAACTGATTTTTTTTTTTATCTGACACGATAAATAATATCTTACTAGATATTTTCAAGACACTTGCTTACAGCTTAAAGGGACATTTGAAGGCTTAACTAGGCTAATTAGGTAAACTAGGCAGGCTAGGTTAATTAGGCAAACCAATGGGGTTTGTTCTGCTGTCTATCGAAATATATATATATATATATATATATATATATATATATATTCTGCACAGAACAAAACTGTTGCAACTAACCAAAGTTACGCCACTGTGCGCTAGTTTAACATTTCAAGCTTGTACACCAAGGCTAATATGAATGCACACAGGATTAATTATGGCTGAGGCTATTAACTACGGGTCATTCACATTTCTCGTCTTTGGCACGCAAGTTCGTTGTTTCCAATAGAGGCACGCAATCAGCAATAAGCAATCAGCCTTCATGCTTTCCAGGAGCACCTAGTTGAAAGAATGGTGTGAGCCCATTGCGAGTTGTATGACAAGAACTGACCAATCAGCTTCATAATTTGTATGGAATATGCACATTTCTATTAAATAGAGAAAAAAATACTAAATGACAATACCAAACAATTTTGTTATATAGTTGATCAAAAGTGCCTTCAGACAGAGGTTCAGCAGCCTTTGACTACATTTGTTCTCTTTAAAAGGGAAGTACTTAGCTAATGTGTAGCTTAATTACCATTTTTAAATATTACTTTTTTATTTTTTTATTTTTTTTATTGTTCTGTCAATTATTTTCAGTGTAAAATTATTACTTGCGTTTAAAAACCAAAAAACTTTCCAAAGAGTCCAAAGACAAATGGACTATTGGTCATATTATTATTATTATTATGTGCTGTATTAATTGGTTACAGAGCAGCAATAAAGAGCACTTTAAAATATAAGGAGTTTTCATGTTATTTTCAACACTGGTTGGGTTTTCAAATTAATGAATACATAACAATCGTGATAACCGTGAAACCATAAATATTACTCAGACTATAATCGTACAACCAAAATCTATAATCGCTGCATCCCTACATCAGACAGATTACAGCCATTTTGTTATTAGCAGTACCACTTGCAGCATTGTCATAGAGACGCCAGTGGACACACTCACTGCCGCATATACATCATCATTGGTGTATAACTTTTTGTACAGTCTGTAAATGCGGTACTATGTTCACAATTTGCAGCCACAACCACCACAAAAAAAAGTTTCCACAACAAAGTTAATTATAACTGTCAAATTACCTCCTTATTACCTATGCATGACCAGAGTTCTTTAATCGCAAGCCTTGCATGCAGACCATGTGCATGATGAAATTCTGACAAAGAACGTTTGGGCTGGCACCCCTCATCTAGCAGGTCCAGAGCAGAGATGTCTCTCCTCTCCGAGCTGCACAGGCATGCTAATTTTGAGTTTTAAACATTTAATGCAATTATGGAGATTTTTTCTGCATGAGGATAAAAATGTGAGCAGGTCACAAAGGTCACACTAAAAATAAAATTGGAAAGTTCTGAAAATATGCCAAGAAAAAAAAATGCAATTGGTGCATCTCTAATTATCAATATAACTTCCTCTTTCTGTTCCTATTCAATCCTAAATACGCACACTTCAACATGTATTAATAATAAACGTGTTATCACACCAAATGTATAATCAAAGCAAATTGCTTTGTTTGGCAATGCGTTTACTGTAAGTGTCAGTCGCAAGCAAGTTTGTCTAAACTTCTCTGACTTTTCCCGTATGTAGATGAGAAAATAATTTGTTGTGATTTTTCATTTTCCCATTATCAAGCACTCGACAATTTCACAGCACAGCAATCACACAATAATGAACTTCCAGAAGCAATTAAGAGGCTCTTCCTGCCACATAGCCTTCGTGTGAGGTAATGCCTATATGGACTAATCATGGTGTGCTTCAGAGGAGCTGGTGGATTAGGTTTTTGATTAATATAAATATTTTTGGTAATACAAAAGATGAAACCCTCTAATCGATGCTCTGTTGAGTGTGTACCTCTGACAGTTCTTGTAATTTGGCCTAAGTGAAACTGGACATTATTGCAGCTGATAAGTTGCCAAGGAGACATCAAATTAACATTGCAGAAGTTATAAACCAATATAATGCCTAACTTCACAAGAGGAGCTGGAAAAAAATAATATGAGATATTTTTAACTACAATTTTTCAACAGTCATATTTTATGGAAAATGATTTGTGGCATATTGCAACCATTAGTCAAAGCACGGTCTATTTTTATTCCACTAAAATCTAAACTTATAGCAGGCTAAAAATACAACAGTGCAATGCAAAGACAGCGAGTACAAGACTGTAATAATTCACAGGTCTGAATCATAATAGTATCATTGATGTCAATATATTGATGTCATTGCTAAATCATCCCAGCTGTGATCTCTTTATTAATGAGAAGATCACAAATGTCTAAATGTATTCTGTGATACTGGGAAATAACCAGCTGTAGTGTGAAAACTGCAATACATTTTGTAGCAATTTATGGCATAAAATTCACAGACAGTAAATTTGCAAATGGAATTAACAAAATGTATCAATTGGCAAATTAATTGTTCTTCTCTCATATTTATCTAGGATATGAAAGATGAACATTTAGTAGGGAAATATAATACTATGTTTATTAGGGTCTGACTGAGATCTCCACTAAGCTAAAATCTAATAACAGTATTTCCCCACAGGGGTCAATTTGACCTAACCATTAAAAACCTCCAGAATGTAAGGAAATTTTTGCCTTTTGGAAATTTTTCCAAGCTCCTGATTAGTTCCTGGTTAACGTGGCGCGAATGTCCGCTCTTGCAGCATGTCTATTTGCATCATTTCACAGACTTAACATGAAAATCACTCGCGCTTTACACTTTATCAAGCCATGACATTGACCACCTACACAAGACAAGAGAGGAGACAGAACATCTTCCACCTACAAGGTCTGCGCCACATCCTGGGCATTACCTTGCAGGACAAAGTCTCCAACGTTGCAGTTTCGACTTGAGCCGGCCTTCCCAGCATGTACACCATGCTCCGACAATGTTGCCTGCACTGGCTTGGCCATATACACTGTATGGAGGATTGGAGAATCCCAAAGTACATCCTCTACTGAGAACTCTCTTCCAGGAAGAGAACCGTAGAGCGCCCGATTCTGTGATTTAAAGATGTCGTGAAGAGTGACACGAAAGTCCTTGACACAAACAAACAGTCCTGGGAAGACCTGGGCAGACTGCCCGATGTGGAGGTGCACCCTGATCAAACAGCTCGAGTCAGGTGAAATGAACATGATGTGTGCAGCGGAGGACAAACGAGTTCGGCAAAAGTTGCGGAACAATGACAGCCATGGAGCCACCTGTTGATGCGACTTCTGCAGCAAAGAATGTCTCTCTCGTATTGGCCTCATCAGCCACCAACGACGCTGTCTCAGACAATCAGTCATCCCTCAAGATAAGAATTAGGATAAGTCATCCATGGTCAACACTGACACATTTGATGAGCTGTTGTCCGGTGTCGGCAGGGGGATTTTTTTCTCAGGACACCAACAACAGGCACTACGTCACAATCATGCCCATATGAAAGCAAACTCCTGATTGGTTAACAAGGCATGAATGTCCACTAAAGTTCAGATTTTCCAAATCGCTTAATTTAAAGGAAATATTGCGTCAATTGCACCGCCTCATTCGACTGAATGGTGCCGCAGGATGTCTATTCGCATCATTTCATTGACTTAAAATGTAAATCACTTGCGCTTGACACTTCATCTGTGTCTGGTGTGAATGCACCAACAGGCCAACTACATTCCAAAAAATATTTTAGCAAAATTGTTGCAAAGAATTTCTATGGGCTATATAGTAATGTTCAACCTACATTGTTTGTTTAAATTCAGCCTAAATTAATTGTTTGCAACCACTTACCTTAAAAAAAATTTAAATTGTAAATCCATTGAATCATTTTTTTTAGTGTAAGATGTATGCTAGCTAAAACCTTGATTTATAAAAGTCAACAGCGACTGGCACGTTGAAAATCAATGCTCAGTTTCTTGCACAAACCGATTGTTTCACTTCATAAGACCTCAATCTATTATCATAAGCCAAAAATTAGGTGATCATTTTGGCTAGCCTGCCTGTACTTTATGTTTTTACTATTATGCTGAACCGTTCTTTATGCTGAATCATTCCGTTCCTTGCCAAAGTGGAGCAGACCACACGAATACAGTTTAATTTTCAACTGTGGTGCTGCAACAGAGCTCTTTGGAACATTACACATAAGGGTAGTTTTGTAGGTAATGAGTAGGTTACGAAATGTAAATAGCTCCCTTTGTTCATTTAAATTTAAATAAAGCAGAAATTATTTTGTTCATGTTCATGTGTAAAAGTGAAAATAACAGCCTGACTAAACACTGTATGCCACTCATTCGTACAGGGGTGCTAACATAAATATACAATATAAGTCACAGTGCCCATATTCATTTAGAGGTCATATATTGCGTGACTCTGAGCAAAATTTATTTGGAGGACCAAGGGCCATGATTTCAGCTAAAACTTTCTTGAACGTTCTACTGATGAAAAAAATCAGAGTGATCTCTATCTTGGATGGCCTGAGGGTAAAAAGACTCAACAAATTTTCCTTTTAGTGTAAAATATCCCTTTAAACAAGATTATTTTACATAAAACCAGTATCAGATGGACAGTTATCCGCAAGACTTACCAGTGTTTTGATCCATGTACTCTTGTGAGGAATGCTGGTTTTGATGTACCCATTCCCCGTTGCATTTGAAGAATATCTGCAGGGCTGGGGTGGCACGGCAGCGCAGCTTAATCGGGTTGTTTTTGATTATGTAAGCATCCTCAGGCTCTTGCAGGAAGTGAGGTAACGTCCCACCAACTGATGACAAGGAATCAGCAAGGGCATCACCAACGGGTCCTGTGAAATCAATTAACACATATGAGAATTTTCCCTAGCACGCTTCTGCACAGTTTAAGCTCATAAAAGTATTTTAGGATCATTTTTATGCAAATGTGCTCAACATTTCATCAGCTTTGGGTTCGTAAATATGGTGCTTTTTTATTCCTCTGGGGAATGTTCTGAGCTTCCCATTGATTTTAAACTGTACGCCGAAGAGACAATTCCACTAAAACAATTCGAGCCATTTTCTACTTTAAAAACGCATTAGGTTTCCCTGAGTGCTTTTGTGATGAAAAGAATAAAAGAATTAGCGATGGAAGAGGGTGCGACTGATTGCTTTGTGTTTGACTGATGAGCTAAAATCCATCTCGGTGCAGAAGAAAATGAGAACGCTCTTTCTTGGGCCGAGGGTTTGTTTTATTTTTCTTTCTTTCGTCAATCATTCTAAAGAGGAAGAAAGAAATTAAAACAGCAGACGGACCAATAGAGTTGAAACAGAGGAGACAAGTAAGATAAGGGGTGCGGACGATGTGCGGGAAGAAAAAAAAAACATGAAAGTCATTAACAACCAACTAGTTCAACTCTGCTTACTGAAATATCACTAATTTCATACCTCCCACATTTGCGGTCCCTTGGAATTGATTACATGTACATACAGTACATGTATTCTTATATACTGTACACCACGCTACAGTATTTTTTAAAAAGAGCAGTTCAGATGTACACTCTTGGAATACTGTAGATATTGCAAGAAGACATGTACATTTATTTACTTTTTTGCTATTTTCTAAATGCTTTTAATGCAGCCAAGATGCTTTAAAATGGTCAAAATTGGCAGTAAAAACATACAAATTTATTTTAAATTTTATTTTTTAAACATTCTACTAAAATAAATGCTATTCTTTTTAAACTTTTGAAATAAAAAATGAGCTTTCATCGTTGACAATAAGAAATATAAGACCCACAATCAGCAAATAAAGGTGATTTCGGAAGGATAACCTGACACTGAAGACTGAAATTTAGCATCACCAACGAAAGAATAAAATTAATTGTTAAATAAAAAAAATCTAAACATAAAATAACATCATAAATGAATAAGAGTAAATTTTAATTATTGATAATTTGACTGTTATTACTATTCTTTCGAATGAAAATTTGCAGCCTTGCTCAATTTAAAAGGAACTCATGTCAAACTTTGGCTTGGGAGAATTTTCACATAAAATTCACCAACAATTTTACAAATGAAAATAGTAATATTTCATAAATTTTTCAAAGCCACACATTCAACATATTTCATACGCGACTTGAATGTGAATTTGATATGCGATTGGACATGTAAAGATCATGTAATTTTTCTGCAACCAATTCATTATGCATTATTGAATGCAAAAACTTTGATGTAAATGATCATCGACAAATTTGTTGACTACTAGATATAGTACGCAGCACAATGATTTCATTTTAGTATCAATATTTTAGCATATATAGGCCTGTCACAATACCTACAGTATGTAATGTTGTACGATATATTGCACCAAAATACATTGCGATAAACAATTTTATTGCCATTTTAAGATCATTTTATGCCACTCATTCTATAATGCCAGCTTGACAATATAATAGCATTATAATTAGGGATGTAACGGTATCAGAATTTCACTGTACGGTAATACCTCGGTATCAATGTCACGGTACGGTATTTATTGAATCATTTACAGGAAAAAACAAAACTTATGAAAATACTCCAAAAAAGTGCCAAAAGTGTCAATGACATACAAATTAGCCATCTATCTGTAAGCTTTGAAACAGGAACTTCAATTTTAATAACAAAAAAAATATTAAACCATGTAAAAAAAAATTTAAGTTTTTAATTTAGTATTGTTGAAAACTCATCACATTCAACATTTAATCACTCACTCACTTAGATAGAGATGGGTTTAAAGGAAAATTATCATATAAATATAATCTGGTAAAAGCTGGTATCTCTGGGCATTTACAATGTCCCCTGCAACAGAAAAAAAAACCTCTCATTTGGTACTGAGGTTTCTGGGACAAGAGAGATATGACTTATATGACTTTTTTCTTGAGCGCCGAAAACGGAGCTTTTTGGAAACGCTGGAGAGGCCGTTTTCATTCTAAAACGCTGCTGCTCCGTCTCAGTGTGGATGGGGAAAGACGGAGACATCTGAAAACGGAGGCGGGGCTGCAAACGTTCGCCTATCTGATTGGGGCTTTTCCTCAATATTAAGTAGCCCACACACAGTTCAGTCTTGCATCCTCTTCTTGTAAGTTAAGACTTCGCAAGTTTGATCAAGGCTGCAGTCTCCCCCTTCTCAGTTTGATATGGAAAACATACCGAGGACACGCGTAAATCTTCAAAGGGAACAGTGTACTTTATAACTTCATTCACATCACCTTGGCTACATTGTTTCACTTTCTCATCAATAAAATGTAAACATGATTTAAGGAACTGCCTATTTTCTTTTTAATATTAGCAACTTAACAGACAGCAGAAATGTTGAGGCGTCGTGCTGCATATATGAGCGTCATCTTCACTGTGTGGATATTTATAACAAAACGGAGCCGATAACAACTGCCTCCTTTCAATTTCAGTGAAAATACGAAACACACCCTCTCTTTTGCTGAATATCAGTTTTAATAATCGATAATTATAAAAGTATAACATACAATAAGTTTATACATTGTAGGAAATAAAGGCAAGCGATCAGTCAATGTACCTGGATTAATCATTAACTTATCTTTGCGCTTAACCAAAACATGTTACCCGTGAACAAGTAACTTAATAGATTCCAATGACCAAAGTCAGGGAATTGGCCTATGTCGTTAGATAAAGACAACAAGATGAATGAAATATCACGTTTAGCAAATATAGCGAGATCAGATCCAGCGGGAGATGCTTGATGAGCAGTCCGACAAGCAGAGCTCTCATCTGGGTAGAAATGCTGGAGCGCTTGCCCGAGAGTGTGTGTGTGGTCACGTGATGTGCGTTTTCAGTGTTTTGGTGTGGACGGAGAGCTGTTCAGAAACGCTGGGTAAAACGCGAGTGTGGACGCGGATCGTTTTCATTCTACAACGCCGTTTTAAAACTAAAATGCACTCTTGTAAAAGGGGCCTTAGAGTTTTACAGCTCTTTTTGATCCCCGCTTCTAGCAGCACACTCCATTTCCGCATTACTGGATCTGTAGCGACAACAGACCGCAAGGGATGATGGGGATTGTAGTTTTCGATACCTCCCGTTCGCTTCATTCGCCTGAGCAAATTTTCTCAGAAGACCTATAGTTTTACCGAGTCATGCGACTTCGGTAATATCGAAAAAAATTAATATTGCGGTATGACGGTATTTACAATACCGTTACATCCCTAATTATAATGCATGTACACTCTTCCAAAGAACACATAATATTTTAATTTTAATAATATTTAATTTAGTAATAGTCATTTTAACAATTTAACAACTGTAAAACGTTTCACATTGGTTAAACTTACAAACTTAAGTTCACCAGCTGCATTAAAATCGTGAATCAAGATGAAGAATTTCTCCAAGTTCAGTTAACTAATATCTTCAGGGCAGCTGGTGGAGTTTGTGAGTTTAACAAAGTTAAATGTTTTACAGTAGGCATTGGAATTAGAATGTAAAAACGCATATTCTAAACAAATAAATAATAATAATAAATGTTAACAAAAAAGGTAAAAAGAAACCAAGGCTGTGATATATTTAATATATTTCACTTATCAGACACCACATGAAGATTCATTCATTCATTTTCTTGTCAGCTTGGTCCCTTTATTGATCCGGGGTTGCCACAGCGGAATGAACCGCCAACTTATCCAGCAATTTTTTTTACGCAGCGATGCCCTTCCAGCCGCAACCCATCTCTGGGTTGCAACCCATCTCTGAGAAACATCCACACACACGTTCACAAACACACACACTCATACTACGGACAATTTAACCTACCCAATTCACCTGTACCACATGTCTTTGGACTGTGGGTGCTACCGGAGCACCCGGAGGAAACCCAAGCAAACGCGAATGCAAACTCCACACAGAAATGCCAACTGAGCCGAGGCTCGAACCAGCGACCCAGCGACCTTCTTGCTGTGAGGCGACAGCACTACCTACTGCGCCACTGCTTCGCCCCCTTTATTAATCTGGGGTCGCCACAGTGGAATGAACCGCCAACTTATCCAGCACATTTTGACGGATGCCCTTACCACATGAACATATTATTATAACACAGACAACATATACAATTATTTTAATCACTTTCAACAGTGTTTTGCAAAAAATCAATGGGTTTTTCTCAAAATGATACCAAACTTTTGCATTTACACCTCTGCATGTGGATTTGGGAAGCTGGGTAGGCAAAACCCAGGCAGAAAGCCCAAAATAGCACAGGTTAAAAAGAAATGTGCCAAATTAATTGAGGTTTTTTTTTCCCTGACAACAAGCTAAATATTCTTACCCTATTGGCAGTTTTTTTTTTTTTTTTGCTTGCTTTAAGTAGAAACTTTCTTCATTTTGGCATTTTATTTCTTAAAACAAAACAACATGTTTTGATTGTCTAAAAAATGCTTCTTAATTTAAGAATTTTTACATACTTAAACTAGAAACATGCATTTTTGCAGTGTAGTTGTGATTTCTATGCAGATGAACTCTCAAATAATCCTCTCAATCAATCTAAAATAATAAATTCATTCCAAATAGCGCTACTTAATTCATTGGATGAAATTATATTCATATCGCAATATATATTGAAAAAAAAAAAAAAACTGCAATTCCATTCACTTCCAGTATCATGCAGCCCTATTAGATCCCACCACATGCTATGAATGGCTGCTACAAGGCAGCAGCAGACTGACCCCGTGACCTCCGGTGATTTAATGGCCATCACTATGAACAGCTGTGCCCAAGTGTCATCTGTCTAGCTTGTTTGTGAAGAAATGCAGTGTGTTATAATTGCCCCCGGTCTCCACTACTCAATTCCAATCTGTGC